TCTTCATTGTTGGCTTTTTATCTTACATTCATTCTTCATTGTTGGCTTTTTATATTACATTCACTCTTCATTGTTGGCTTTTTATCTTACATTCATTCTTCATTGTTGGCTTTTTATCTTACATTCATTCTTCATTATTGGCTTTTTATATTACATTCACTCTTCATTGTTGGCTTTTTATATCATATAGAAAATCATAGTTTTATCTAGTGAACATTTTTTCCCGTGTCACATTGCCGTGTCATCCTGAGATAATCTTACTTTTGATAAATAATGTTTAAGATAACAAACTTAGTGATAAGAAAACTTGTTAACATCGTCACAATGGGGGCGCTGCTTGCGAGTTAAATGTACAAATCTGCAAGTAACTCTAAGGATATTCAAGATATTCATGAAATTATATTTCAAAAACCTTCCCGGTGATATACCTAATAATATCCCAAAATTTCACGGCGATCGGATGTATGGTTTTTGAATCTATAGAGTACAAACAAACAGACAAACAGACAGACAGACAGACAGACATTCAATTTTATATATATAGATTTGTTAGGCCAACTTTCACTAGAGTAATACCCGTGCGAAGCCGGGAACATTCTCTAGTGTATATAAATAAATAGCTATATGTGATATTTAACCGAATGAATGTTTTCCCAACGAATATTGAATTAACAAATGTTATTTATTATAATTAAATTCGTATGACGTCTGTTTTTCCCATCGAGTGAATTCTCTTACCTAAAAAGTATATAGATATTTTTCAAAATCAAATTTCAAGTAGGGGTCAATTAAATTTTGAGTTATAAAAATTAACTCTTAAAATTCTAATAATTATTATTATCAATATGTGTTTTTTACGCCCCACATAAACAACCAACCGGACAAAAATTTTGCTTATACACCTATCCCCCGATTTACACGGTACTTGTTTTACACGTTTTCGCTTTCACACGGTTTTCCAAATAAGTTTTTTTTTTTTTTTGTTTTTATCGCTGGAAAAAATGCGGGAAATTTTGGAGGGAAATGATGGCAATTTCCCAAATAGGTTTAATTAAAATAAAAAAAAATAAAACATTTTAATTTGAATAAAAATATTATAATATAAAATTTATTTTTAAAAATAAAAGTTTTTAATCTTCCCTCCAAAATTTCCCGCATTTTTTCCCTCTGAATTTTACTTTAATCACAGCCAAATTAACATAAATTTCAAAAAAAGTATAGGCTTATAATGAAGAAAGAAGTTAAAAGAAAAGGTATTTCTTTAGAAACTAAAATCGAAATTTTGGATCGCTTACGAAAGGGAGATAGAGTACTAGATGTTGCAAAATCATATAGCATGAACGAAGCTACAATAAGAACTATTAGAACAAATTAAAACACAATTAGAAAGAGTGTTGCAGCTGGCAATACAACGAGTATGGGCACAACATCATACACCAGAAATATCGCAATGGAAATAATGGAGCAAGCGTTAATGCTTTGGATAGAAGTTCAAACACAAAAAAGAATACCCATTGATACGGGCGCTATAACAAATAAAGCATTACGAATTTACGAAAAAATTGTAGAGCAATTGCAATCTTCAACTGAAAAAAAACCAAATTTTTTGGCAAGTCATGGCTGGTTTGAGAGATTTAAAATAAGACATTATTTACACAGCTTAAATTTAAAAGGTGAACTGGCTTCTGGCGACGTAGATGCAGCCCGAAAATATCCAGCAAATTTTGCAGAAACTACACTGATAGACAAAACTTAAGGAAGTTGTACCTTATAGCATATATATATCACTGTGCATCAAATATCTCTCAGAGTTATTTTCTGAATCCCGATATATATATGCTATAAGGTACAACTTCCTTAAGTTTTGTCTTTCAGTGTTATTAACGACAATTCATACACCCCTGATCAGGTTTTCAATGCTGATGAGTCAGGGTTATTCTGGAAAAAATGCCTGAAAGGACTTATGTTTTAAAATTTTATAAATCGGCTAGTGGTCATAAAGCAGCAAAAGATCACATAACAATTCTTTTCTGTAGCAATGCTTCAGGAGATTATATTATGAAACCATTAGTGATTAACAAATCAAAAATGTCCCGTGCCTTTAAAGGAGTAAACATCAATATTCTTCCCGTTTATTGGAGGGCTAATAAGAAAGCGTGGGTTACTGCTGCAATGTTTACTGAATGGTTTCATGAATGTTTTATCCCAGATGCCAAAAAATATTTAAGTTCAAAGGGATTGCCTTTTGAAGTGCTTTTGTTAATTGACAATGCGCCGGGTCACTCACAAGATCTAGAATATGAGAACGTTAAAGTAAAATTTTACCAAAAAAACACAACTTCATTATTACAACCATTGGACCAAGGCATAATTTCTACCTTTAAAGCTTTGTACATTAAACAAGCCTTTACATATATTTTGGAACAAATGGAGAACAATGGATCTTTAACAGTTATTGGTGCTTGGAAAAAATTTTACAATGTTAGACTGTGTGAAGCATATCGCCTTATCATACACTGCGATTAAGCAAACAACGCTCAATAGCTGTTGGAAAAAATTGTGGCCAAATGTAGTCAAAAATGAACATTCCATTTCAACGTTAAATGAATATTCGCAGATAGTACATATGGCGCATTCATTGAGCGAAGAAGGTTTTGATGATTTTACTGATGGTGATATCGCAGAGTTAATGGCTGATAAAGAACTAAGTGAGGATGATTTAGTTAACTTAGTTTGCAAAAGTGAGTCTGACAAATCTGATGAAGAAGAATTAGTACCAGTAACATTCACTGCTAAAGTCATCCGCGAAGGACTCGCATTGGGAAGAAAGCTGGGTAATCATTTTATGCAAAATGACACAAACGTTGAAAGGGCTTTACTTTTCCAACGTGACATAAATCGCTGCTTGGCTCAATATGAAGAAGTTTACAAAGATCTTACAAAAAATTCGAAGCAATTGTTAATAACCGATTTTATTACCATATCTCTCATAATGTAAATATTTCTGCTTCAAACATCGAATCGGCACAAATAACTTCGAGTGATGAAAGTGAATTCGAACCTTAGATTCCGAAAAAAAGAATGAGAGTAATTTCTGACAGTGATGAAGGATAATAAAACACCTTTGGATTTATTTTTGTTCTTCTGTTTATGTATGTATTGTATTTATATAAGAAAACAGTGTTTCCGTAATATATTACATATTTTAACTTGTCAATGCATTTTATTTTTATTTCTGTGTACACCTAAAAATATTGAAAAAAATCACAACTGTTAAATAGCAAAATTATGCATTTTCTGCGAGCTTTTCGATTTACATGGTTTTGACTTGAAATTTTTTAATTTTTGATTTACACGTTTTTCTCAGGAACGTATCTACCGTGTAAATCGGGGGATAGGTGTATAAATATATAGATAGTGGAACATTTGTTTTACGAACAGATCTAGAAATATCGTAAATATAGACGCTCTAACTAAGCACCGTCTACGCGAACGAGCGGGCTCGGGTGAGTGACAATACCACAACACCAGCTTTGGCACAAATGGCTTTGTTTTAGTGTATACTTCGACGGGAGAGGTGATCTTTTTTTATAGATCATTAACCTCCTAGTATAATTCACATTTATATTTCGGCCATAGAATTGCCCTGGTCATTTTACCGGCTAATCAATCACTTCTTATATCTCATAATGGTTTATATCTCATGAAATCGCGGACAGCACTGGATTGAAGAGGGCCATTGGTCCGAAACTATGGTCTCCAGGTTAGCCTTCTTGGTTTACCAAAGCTGGTGTTGTGGCTTTGTCACTGACCCTAATCCACGGGAGTCGGTAGATAAATGGTGCTTAGTTTTCGCGTCTATTTGACGAATAAGTAGCCTTTTTAATAAATAAACATTCTTTCAGCAAAATATTTCTTTGGTAATTATTGTATTACCATAGAATGTATTTATCAGCACCATTTTCGGCCTCGAACTGAGGAAGGAATATGTTAAAGCAATTATAAAGAAGGGATATTTCAATTAAAATAGTCGCTTATTGTGCACTAATAAAGTATAACTTGAGACTGGGTATAAATTTATAGCTAGAGGTTTCTTGAAATCTCTCGGATGGAAATTGGATGGAAAGCAAACATAACAAGGGCAGACGAGATGGGAAAAGAAGAAAAAGTTTTGAAAAGTAATTGGTTCTTACTTTGTGACTGTAGGATATCATTCTTCGGATATAAAGGCTCACTACCTACCTTACGAACTTTATCCAAAGACTTTTCAATACTACAAACCGCGATGTATGGGGTATTGGAATATATTAAAAAACAATAACAATTATTGTTGATTTTTTAATTGCTCAACACAGGTATGTATAATTGTTGTTTTTATTGTATTGATCACAATATTGTCAGGAGGACAGAATGGCCTGGTACTTCTTATCTTGACTGGTAGGACCGGACGGGGAAAACAGTGACGTCACGTGGAAGGGAAAAACTCAGTTCTCCCCTCTTGCTGTAACTGCTCTCTCTGGGGTCAATTTGGCTCATGTATATAGTAATTCTTATTTTATACTTAAAATCTTTCATTTTATTAACTAAATAAATATATAAAGTAATTCGGAAGCCTATTTAATTATATTTCATCGCGACACTATTTTACATGTATTATTGCTTAAATTCTAGATTTTGATATGTGGAACATAAAATTAATAATAAAATCTAGCCAATATAAATGTGAAAATTTTCAAAATAAATTTAAACGCCACTTTTTCTTTTAAATATTTATAATGTTAGGCTATTAATACAAGATACAATGAATATAAATTAAAAGAAGATGGGCATGTCTCATCAGTGGTTAACCCTCCCCTTTCAACATTAATTCATTGCAGTATAAGGGCTGTGTAAATGAATTTTAATTATCAATATTCAAAAAGAAATGTAGCGTTAAATTATTTCTAATCTTCAACTATATATGCGTGTTCACAATATTGAAAGTTGTAGGGACCTTCGGAGACATCTGGGCGACGACGACAGTTCGAGTTGTTCAACTCTTTTCAGGGCGGGGCACTCAGCGGCGTGATCGTCTAGTGGTTAGAACATTGTGTTGTGGCCGAAATAACCCAGATTCAAATTCTGATCACGACAATTCTAATTAAATATTAAGAATTATATTTTAGCCGCTATACAATATATATGTTCTATTACTATTAAGATAATTGCGATATAATAACTATTTTTTTTTTTAATGTCAAACCTTACACGCTGGGTTTCTTTTATTTTTATTATCTACTATTTTTATATTTATTATTTACTCGGCGGGTTTTCAAATTTTCACTTCACAACGCGCGCGAGCAAGCGAATCAACTATTTTTTGCATTTATTTCCGCATACCAAACGCAAAGGCAACAAAAGGAGCGAACGTTTCTCGTGGTCAAGGATGTTACGTTGTGATCACCAAAACCCAGGTTAAAATCCTGGTCACGTCACCATTTTTTCTCAAATTTTGAAATGCATTTTGCCTTCTGTCGCATTTTTTCTCTGTGTATAAGTGACAATTCGAATCAATAATAATCATTTAAGGTACAGCTTATCATCATAGATATTCTTTTGTTCTGTTGTTTATATTATATACGCAATTATTACTCGTTTAGAAATACGGATCTTTATAATACTTAGGCGGTATGTATAAAATAAATACATGCAGTAATATATGTCTATATACTCTAGATTTTCATATGTAACAGAATGATAAAAGTGTAATAGCTTCAAATGTAGATACAATTCAACGCACCAGTTTGGCCATCATGTAATGCAAAACAAAGCAATAAAGTTATATTGAAACAGCCGCGCCCAAGGCAAGGACGAGATTCCAAGGAGTCGAATTTCGTCAAAATTATTGATTTTCTCCCAGGAAATTTCCAATAAATTTTAAGACCGCCACTGGAGACCGACAAAAGGGCGGATAACGACAGATCATCTCTCCCTCTCTTGTAGATTACACCTACCTGGACCTTGTCCGCATCTTCGGCGCTGGCCTCTCTCTGAGGTGACTTTCCATTTGCCCATTGACGCCTAAAACCACTTTTGGCCCCATGACTGCATATAACCTGCCTACCACAACAACCAACCGCCAGGATTACACCGAGGACAGCGCAAAGAAGATGGAACGTGGTAAGCAGAGCGACACCAGAGATCACCACCATGACACCTACAGACACTGACATTGTGGCACAACTCACGGAATCCATCCGATACATCACCGCTTCCAGCCTCATGTAGATTGTGTACCTTCAAAGGCCACAAACCTCACCTCATACTCGCCAGTATAAGTTAAATGTGCTCGCCACAAATATCCACTCTCCACCTGACGACAAGGGCCTTTTCCAACCATCACCAAGGAGGTGACGATGGCCACATTTACAAGTCCTGAACTCTCCGACTATACTCTAACGAACACTTTGTATTGCGAGTACAACTCATTTTAAACCAAAATTTTCGATTGAATGTCAAGTATATTTTTATTTTGATTATTTAATATCACTTTTAGCTTCTACAAATTAACATATATTATCAAATTTATTTATAATCATCTTCTTTCTTGACTCACATTTTTATCGAGGTTTCCCTGTCAATTTTTTTTTACAAACATAGTAGTTTTAATCTTTTCAGTTATGCGGGAAGAATCTTGTTTATTTGTTAAGGGAATTGATCCCCCATGCCTTCTCATTGGACGAATGTGGCCATGTTTTAAACATAAAAGAGGGTTGAAACGGAATGAGAGGAGTCGTGGAGTGGTGTTCGAGTGGAGACGCTTAAAGCGTTCTCTGTGTGCTTGCCTGGTGATTCTCCTCGCATACCTGTGAAACCCCTGTCCGCTCCTTATCAACGCTGCAAATAAAAGATAAGTACTGTTTTTATTTTATTTAACAAATCGTGTTTCTTTTTTGCCCCTTTTTGTTGTTGGTGTTGTACTCTTGAGTGTACCTTTTTCTGTGTTTAAGTTACTCTTACTGTAGGCCCTAGTTATTGATTTTTGTGTAATAACCCGGAACAATAACATTTTGTCATTGGCGAGCCCTGCCAGGATTACTGGTGTTTGCACGTGTAAATTCCTGTAATCTTTACATGCGTTTTTTTTCTCTGATTTAGTGGTTTATTATTATTATTTTTGTACTACATCATGTTTGTGAACTCTATGCTTAACTTGTCAGTTTTTAATGGGGTTGATCTCGATTCTTTAATTCGGGAAGTCGAGCTTAAAGCTCGAGTAGGCAAATGGGATCCTGAGATCAAAGCACTGCTCATGTTCGAGGCTCTTTCCCCTAAAGTTAGGTTGAGCTTAGAGGAGATGGGTATCTGTAACGATAGCAGTTTCGAATGTATTGTTAGTAAACTGAACATATTGTACCCTAAAAAGGGGCGTAGTATTAGGGAATATTTCTTTTAAAAATAATAAAAACTTCTACTGCCCTTACTGCGATGAAAAAATATATTGGGAGGGCTTGGCTCATCAGTGGTGAACCATCCCAGCGGTTTCGCCAATTTAATCTACCAGACCGCTTCTCAGAGCTCTAATACTGTATTGGACGTAACAATTTATTCCGCCTTCTACATGCTAACAGGTAAGCATTTTGAGGCTCATACTGTATTGGACGATTCTGCTTATATACGCAGCACTGAAGGATGGAATCTCAGAAATGGTTTTCAAGAAAACTATGGACAAAATTAAAACGTTACATAAAATATTTGGCGCAGCTACGAAAGGATTAAAATATAAATCAAAAAATGCTTCGACGAAAGAAAAAGTAAGTACAATGGCAGTAAATGTAAACAAATTAGAGAAATTTAGCGGTGATAAAGGTTCAATTCGGCCTGAATCATGGCTTAAACTATATGAATTGGAAACTGGTAAACTAGATGAAGTCGATAGAATCAATAATCTAATTTATTATTTATCAAAAGATGCTTTAGAATGGTTTGCTGATGAAATATTGAGCAACGCATCCATTAAAAAATGGGATACTGTTAAACTCAAATTAATTCAGCGCTTTGGTTATAAAGTTGAAAGCCCTATAGTTGCAGCATCAAAAAGAAGACTTAAAAAAGAAGAAACCGTGGAAGATTATTTTAGAGATAAAATTAGAAAATTAAATCAAACAAGCCTCAATAATGTCGAGAAGCTAAAAATGTTAACGGATGGATTGCCATTAGATTGGAAAAATTATCTCGTAACAGCCCAGCCTAAAGATCCATCACATTGGATGCAGATTGCCATGGAGATTGAACAGAACAATAATCAAATAAGGCAACAACAGAGAAGTAAAACCAAGGTTTTTAATATAACTACACCTACAATCTCAAAAAATTGCCCATATTGGTGTCCTATTTGTAAGAAAAAAGGATTGTATTTTAAACATTGGATAAGTGATTGCAAAGATTATGATCCTAATTATAAAGACAAGCTTAAACACCAAGCAACTAATATCACCACAGATGTTAAACAAACCATAGCTGATTCACTTTGCATAGCAAATACCAATTTTCCTTATAGATTTGTTAATGTTGAAGTTTTACTTAATAATATTCCAGTTTCATCTTTTATTGATACCGGGTCAACTATTTCATTAATGAGCTGTTCGCTTTTAAAACAACATAAGTTAAAATTGAATGTAAACGATAGAATCAAAATTAAACAAGTAGATAGTTTTGCATATACTTTAGGATCAGTAGAAGTATTTTTGAAAATCCATTCTAAACTTGTCGGGTGTAAGCTTCATGTAGTGAAAAACTTTAGCTATCCATTGCTTATTGGACTTGATGTAGCAGGAAAAATTGGATCAATAATTGACACAAAAGACAAAGCGGTGTATGTTAAAGGAAATGAATGTTTTTATATATCTCCTGAAACGCATCTTCCATCTGTTCAGCAAAAAGAGCTTAATCAATTACTTAAAGAAAATCAAGCATTGTTCAGCCAGCATGAAACTGACATCGGAAGGATTGCTGTCCAACACAAGATCCATACAATTAAACATCCACCCATCAGTTGTAGACCATATAGAAGACCACTTGCCGAATATGATGATATAAAAAGACAAGTTGAAGAATTGAGTAAAAAGGGACTAATAAGAGAATCTCAGTCACCTTGGGCCTTCCCCGTAGTGTTGGTCTCTGAAAAGGATGGTTCACAAAGAATGTGCATAGATTACCGAAAACTGAATGCAATTACAATTGATGACAAGCAGCCTCTTCCATACATCCAAGATATGTTTGATCGCTTACATAATGCGAAATACTTCACAACACTTGACATAGCATGGGGCTATTAGCATGTTGAAATACATCCAGACTCTGTTGAGAAAACTGCTTTCATTACAAATGACGGGCATTATGAATTTTTGGTTATGCCATTTGGCTTGAAAAATGCTCCAAGTACTTTTCAGCGAATAATTCAGCATATTATTGGAAATCTTCTTTGGAACGGTGTTTGTAATTATCAAGATGATATTCTAATTACAGCAGTACTTTTAAAGATCATATTGAACTCATGAAGAAAATATTTGACAAGCTTAAAGAAAACAATATCAAACTCAAGTTGAAGAAATGCTCCTTTGCAAAACAAGAAATAAGATATTTAGGTCATATCATAGGACATAACAAGATTAAACCTGACCCTGAAAAAACAAAGGCAATAAATGAGTTCCCTCAACCTAAAACAGTGAAGCAAGTAAGGCAGTTTTTGGGTTTAGCAGGTTACTACAGGAAATTTATTCCTAAATTTAGTGAAATTGCATATCCTTTAACAAGCCTCACAAGAAAAAATAAGTTATTAAAATGGACTACTGAAGTTAACAAATCATTTCAGGAACTAAAGTCTCATTTATCCACAGATCCAGTTCTTTCTACATATGATCCTTCATTACCATGTAAGCTTTATACAGATGCATCTAAACTGGGAATTGGTGCTATTTTAGCTCAAATTGGAAATGATAATCAAGAACATGTAATTTCCTATTATTCAGGGAAACTTCTACCACATCAACAGAACTATTCTGCATTTGAGTTGGAATGCTTTGCTGTAGTTCAATCAGTTGAATACTTTGAAGTTTATCTTGAGAACAATACATTTGAAGTCATTACAGATC